TCTCTTTTATTGAACTATTATTTATTATTTTTTAAATTATTTTATGGTTATTAATTTTTACTTTATTATGAGAAATATATCAAAATACTTTTAAATTATTACTAATAAAGTATTTTGAAATATTTCTTAAAATAATTCATGTACTTGACACCATTATGGAGTCATAAAAGTACAGACATGTGTAAGTTATTTTTATATTTGTATTTCCAGTTAGTTTATTCGGTAGCGACGGTGTTGTTGACTACCGTGGAATCATGTTTGAATATTTATGTGCGTTGTGAGTAGTAACGTTGTCGACTACCCACGAACTATTTATGAATCATGCGCGATCAAACTACAGACATTGCAGTTTTGGCAGCTCAAAAGACTAGCTTAGTTAACTTTAGTTTCTCTCTCTCTCCCTTTCTCCTCCCTCTATACCCAACTTTTCCAATACTCGCCGCACAGCCTACGCATCAGTAACAATTGTAATTCAATTGTGATTGCGACGATAGCGGTAGCGAATGGTGTAGCAATTGTTCGTATGCGTAATTCAGAGATGAGTTGCAAGTTCTTTTCGCTCAACTTAGGAAGAAATGGTAAGCTTAGCAGGGCATGATGGTAGGTTACGTTGAGCCGCGCTGAAGCCACCAGTTGGTCTTCATCTTCTGATAGTCATTGAAGTTGACATATCTTGAAACATTGATAAAAGCGGTGCGTTTAAACGTAACAAGGTAAGTGCAGTTCACAAACACTTCAGGGCCATCATCTACGCTCACCTCGACCAGCGCATCATTTACGACCACTATACCGTCGTCTATGACAGAGATGGGGGCTAAATCACTGGACCTGGTGGCACAGTGACACACACATTTACGGCTTCTCTGCAGAACGTTACCATAGGCGTGTCAACGCAAGAAGTAACAGCGGTGATGCTACCTTCACAGTCAGCTACGGTGTTATGAAACAAGTGCAATATACGGCCAGCATGCGATACGGGAAAAACGGTAATCTTTTTACATAATAACTTAGGTATATGGAAGCTGATTACAAATATTATTATTTCCTTATTCGCCTTAACTCTAGCTATCCTAAGCAATTGGGTTATTGTAACTCCCGTAAAACCCTCCTTCATAGGACAGGGTTTACTATATTAAACTTTGACAAGGTCATTGCAATCATTCAATTTCAAGAGTTAGAATCCTGTTCCGTTAGTCTTATCTGCGTTTAGTCGTCAAAGTCAGAGCTGCCAGCTATTATCTTTAGTGCCAATCCTAAAAAATTTAAGCTCCGAGAATGTCTATGGTGAACTCCTAAAGTCCCTAACGATTGTGGTAAGACATTAATCAATTCTGTGATCTCTTCTATGTATTGTCCATATTCGTTTAAGTTCGATATATGCCCTATATAAGTCGTCTCGTTCCAAATTATTGAGGTACCGTCCAGTAGTACCGTCTGTTAATTTAGAGTCTGCCAACGCAGCCCAAGTCAAAAATACGTAGATATACAAATGCCTGAAATTTATTTAAAAGAAACTGTATCAAAATAACTGTATCGGAAGTTTATATTTGAGGTTTTCCTTATGAACCACCCTCCTTTTAATAAGAACGGTTGTTCCTAAATCAGCGTCAACCTTCTCTTCAGTATGCAATGGGGTGACCTTGTCGCCCAAGCTTTTGTTGGATTTTTCTCCCACTTAGAATACCATATTCTGGCGATAAGCGATGCTCCGATCTATTTGCTCCTGTTGGGCTTTTTCTAGCCTCGCAGCAATATTCGGGGAAAAATGTGAACTGACATGGAGGATCTCAATCGCCTTCTTGCCCATCACAGAGTGGAACGTCCTATTATATTCTACGGCCGTTTGAAGAAAAAGTTCCACTACATCTTGTATTTGTCTTTGCAATTTAAGACATCTGGCGATCTCCACAAGGGTACTGTGGAATCTTTCCACCTTTGCGTTTGACGTATTATGTAGCGGTGGTGCATTCACTATGTCAATGTCATATTGGCTTTTTAAGCGTGGATTCTCCGCTAACAAATTAAGAGCATCTGTTTCATAGCCGGCTTCGTTTTCAGCTTCTATTTCGGCCGCTGCATCATAAGCTGCTTGATCGTATTGATTTTCGTATTGGGATACATCGTTTTTTCTTGCGTCAAATAATTTACGCTCTGGCGTCTGTAATCAGACGTTCTTTAAGATGCTGCCTCCCGCCAGGACACATATCGTTCCTGTGAGCCATCGAACTCTGGGACCGACTTAACTGCATCCAGCCCTTCGTGACATTCGACACCGTCTATAATTTTTATTGGCTCGTAGGCCTTGATTTCGGGGGCTGTCACAGTTGTGGATTCGTTTGTAAGCTGCTCTATCCTGGCTTCGAATTATTTTCTTTGAACCTGCAGTGCGGCGCTAACGGTCGCATATATAATACCTTGCAACTGCGGTTCATTCATATCTTCCCGCGTTTGATTCGTTAGTTTAAGTCGACAGTTACACAGTCGTACAGTTACAGTCAATACGAATACTACTAAAGAGTCGATATATGGCGGATATGAAAAGGGGTTTCACTTACATAATTATATTGAGATTTTCACTCTTCCACGTTGGAATGGCAATTTGCGGATTAATAATTCAGTATTTTTCTTGTAACGATGAATTTCATGTACCGGGACAATAACGATGGGGTTTTTTTTTTTAACAGCACTTTTCATGAGCCTTCACGTTGGGCGCCAGTTTTTTTTTTATTTGTATTTCCAGTTAGTTTATTCGGTAGCGACGGTGTTGTCGACTACCGCGGAATTATGTTTGAATATTTATATGCGTTGTGAGTGGTAGCGACGGTGTTGTCGACTACCACGGAATTATGTTATTTTAAATAAACATAATTTGAGTTCCGTTCTAAATCTGATTTATTAAAATTACATTTCCCTTATATATAGCCTACTATTACTATTGCCGCTACTGCCATTGATGCTTTCTAAATTTCTGCTGACGCCTAAGCTTGGATAAGGCATTGCGTTACATCCGCCGGTCCCATGGTCGGTGGCTACTGCAAGGTGTTGAATTGCGGCTGTCGGTCATACAGTTCATTTGAATCATACACGATAAAACTGCATACATTGCAGTTTTAGCAGCTGAAAAGACTAACTTAGTTAACTTTTGTTAACTTGTTTATGTAAAGAAATATGAAAAAAAAATATTTGTAAATTTGTCTACAAACAACTTATGTATGTAGATAGAAGTATGTATACATGTAGAAGCTCACGTTTTTTGCTTTTATGTCAAAGAGTGAATCTGTCGAACGACTGACGCAACGACAAAGCGTCACCACATTGTGTTGTTAGTAGAAAATCCGAGATGAGGCGAAAAAATAAACGAACGCTTGCCGATTGTCACCGCTTCCCTTGCCGCTCTAACAGCTTTGCCAACAAATCATTGTAAATATGTACATATGTTTAAATATGAACATGCATACATATTGACGCAGATTCACGGGAAAATATTTTAGAATTGTAAAATATTTTAAATCGACAAAAGCTTTGTTGCCACTTTTGTCTCTTTTTTCTGTGTTTTGTGGGCTTGCAGGGTTGTCGCTTTTCCCTTCTAGAGGGAACATAAAAAAGTGGTTCACTTTATGATTTCAAAGCTTTTGCCATCGTCGCGAAAAAACGCTTGTAAAAAAAAGGCATACTCGGGGAGATGTGTAAGACGTTTGCTTTTACGAATGAAACCACTTAGCTTATTGCATGTGCGCCAGCGTTTATGAGTGAAAATGTTGTTGATGTGAGATTTATTACAAATTTTGGATTTGTCAATTTGGCTGCGATATTGATTTCTGACGCTGATCATGCTATTTGAGACAATTGTTGTTCTTGTATAACAATGTTTGTATTTTTCCTATTGGCTGACATAATTTCATTTGTACGCTTATATGTACTTATGTAGATTTGTGTATGCATTGCTTATTTTGCAAGGTCATACGCATATTTGTACATACATACTTACATATAGAGCTGTGCGTGCACATTTATTTATTGATAAGTGATAATATATTATTATATTGTATTATATAATATAATATATTGATGTACATATGTACATACATAAATGATTAATTCTGTAACAATTGAAATTAGAAAATTATAAAAAAAGTTAAATATATATTTTTTTTGCATAATCTTTCGCATTGTATCATGCCTCAAAAAAAATCATAATTTATAAATTTTTATCATAAAAATCGTTTATTTGGCAAAAAATAATCATGCATATGTAAAGTGGCATTTGTATTTTTTGTTTAAGGAATTTAATTTTTCTTTTTATGTTGGGAGATACGTATTTTGTCAGAGAACGTTGTTATAAATTCTCATTTCTGTTTAATAACAGCATGGTGGAACAGAAAATGGTGAACTCCTTGATCTCAATTTTTCAGGTCTGTTAGCCGTCCAATCGAGCATCATACAAAATTCAATTTGCACCTTCTCGTTCTTCTAAGTTCTCTGGTTTAACAACTTGTTTGTGAACATGTATATGTAATGGAGCATATTTATGAAAACTTTCAGCAATGTTTTCGCAACAAAAGGTTATTATATATTTATTGCTTTTCTTCACCACCTCTAAGGCTGCAATATAGGCGTGTTACATTTGGGTTTTTGGTTCCCCAGAAGGCCTATATTCACCCATATAATATATACAATTCTAAAACAATCTATTTTTCGTAATCAGGTTCATGAATATGTAATATTATATATTAATTACATTAACAATATAACATTAACAATATAAGTTGAAATTTTCAGCTTGATTTAAACAATATCGAATATAATTATATAAAAATCAGGTACAATTCAATTGTATTCATGAACAAATATAACTGAAAACAATCTACTTGTAATTATTTTAACAAAAACAAAAATAATAGAATAAAAAATGAGGTACAATCCAGGAACAACAATATTAATAAGCAAAACAATGTACCAATTAATAAATAATATTTACAAAATATTCTAAATCACCCACAGCGATATACTTTATAAATGTAAATTTAATCTTTAGAAATCTCAATAATCGAAAACTATTTCAATATGTAATAAAAACATTCTTAATTATAAATTTATAAGTTTTAAAACATAACACGGCAACAAATTGTAGAAGATTTGAGTCAATTGGACGTTTTAGTAGTAGAATATTAGTTGAAAACCTGTGCCAAGTGTGATTTTAGTAGTAGAATACTTGTATAAGTAGGCAACCCGTACCAAGTGGGCCATTTTTGCGTATGTTTTAGAGAAAATCTTAGGATTGGTTACTTGTAGATTTATACCATATAGACCAACAACCGTCCTGCAGTATTTTTGACACGTGAGCGTAGATACCTTGCGTGTTTTCTTTTCTCTCTTTTTCACATGATCTTGGCGATCCTGCATGGTCGCTCCAACGGTTTCCTGTATCAGATTTTGCTGGCAACGCTCCACCCCAACAAAGCACCGTAGATTGACTTGACTACCACTGTGTAACACCAATGCATAAGCCCGATGTGGACCCTAGGATTTTCCCCATTGATTTTCCACGTCAGTTTGCTGCCCAAAGTTACTCCCAGGTACTTAGTATAATCCTTAGTATTTAACTCTAGCCCGTTAAACCTCGGGAGTTTCCATGACGGCATCTTGTATCGGCTGCTTCCAGACTATTAAGGATTGCACCATGGGAGACATTATTAAATGATCCGCTTATGTCAAAGAAGATGCTCAAGGCAGCAAAGAAAGGAGTTTGTAGTAATCTTCCTTTATCTTATTTAATTAAAAACGAAATGATTCCTCATTTAAACGAAAATAACATAACATTATTTCAAAGCCATTGAATTGTCAATAAGCATTGTCTTAGTTGTAGTTGGAAGTTCCAATGTATTAAGTGATCACGAGAGCTTTTTCTTATTCGCAGCACAATTGTTTTGGCCCCAACCACAAAATGGTTGTGTTGATTTGAAGTTGAATTCTAATGTTAATTAAACTGTAATGGGGGCATAAACGTATTTTATATTAACCAGAAATGAATCTTTTTATTACTTCTTTGTTTTACACGATAAACGACAAATTCCTGAACCGGCTGTATAACAGTTTGACAAGTTGTGGTCACAGCTAACAAATTAAGGCCAAATAATTCTATGCAATAGAATCAAGTAAAATTTAAAAAAATGTGTATTTGTGCATCCAATGTTTATGACATTAGAATTTTTACCTGTAAATATATTTAATAAATTCTTTAGAAACCTCATAAAATTTAACTACATACCTTTTGTATAGACGCCTTTGGTAGGTTTTGATTAATAAAACAGTAAAATATTTAATAAACATATCAGAGAGAACGCTTACCTCTGATCTCACAAAAATATTATATATAAAAAATATGGGCTTTGCCGTCCATTTTTCATGAAAAATTGTTTACTCTTCTGCACTTTTCCCCCATAATAAATTTCACTCTAATTATAATATCGGTTTCCCCATTCAATTAGAAATGGCAGTGAATCGATAAGCAGCTGGAAAAGTGTGAGTGGCTATATGTGCGTCTCTTTCTTCCTCTCTCTTTAGGTATGTAGTGGTATAAATGGCGAGTGGTTAACAAGAGTAGTAGTGAATTGGCTACTTCCGTCTTATACCAATTTCGTATAACACAACAATAAAAACTCACAAAAATTGTATATATAAATAATTAGTCCATTAAGATTCATTCTTAGAATAGATATTTTAAATTAGACTCCAAATGTTTAAAAATTTACAGTATTACTTTTCCCGTCATGTTCCGTAGGAGTTTCTCTCATTAACCCCCAAATATAGTCCCCAATACTGTATACTGGCCTCGGTAACGTCTCTCAAATACCATTATATCTTGATGGAAACATTCTCCTTGTTCTTCCGAATATGCTCCCAAATTAGCTCTAAATTTATCTAAATGAGAATGTAACATGTGTATCTTTAGAGACATTCTACATCCTATGATGTAGAAATTCGTAATCAGCTCATCATAATTGCCAGCTCTATGGATTCCAAGGAAATTATGCACGACTACCTTAAAACTGTTCAAGGCTGTTTTCTCCTCATTGCTAAGTAACTTCAAGAAAATATCGCAATCCATATTATTTTTATTTGATAGCTGACAAAGATTACAGCTTTTTTCACCTCTGAAAGTTTTGGAAAACAATTCTTCAAATATTTGCAAAATGATTCCCTCTGAATTCTCGGCACTGCGAACTTCATTGCTCTTTTTACACCTCGTTACCAGCCCACAATAAAACGTAACATATTATAACTTAATTGATGACATCAAATTAGTTAATAATTATTATAAGAAAAAGAGCGAATATATTCACCATCTGGAATATATCTGTGGGAGTTACATGACACTTGAGTAGCCCATTTGTTGTCCTGATTTATAACAGATAGATTGAAGTAAGCTTGATATGAAAATCTTTAAATTTTCACTTAAATCATACGTTTTCTCTCTCATATTAAAAAAATCTCTGCAAATACAGCAAAACGAGTCAGCGTCTCATTTACAACTGCTCGAAGTCCTTTTGTACTGGTTATTACAGGAAACAAAATTATGAATTATTCCTCTGCAATATGCTGTCGTACACAAAAACGGGAAAACTAAAAATGATCAAATCGCTATAATTGCGTAAAAAGCAAACATTTTCGGTTTGTAATCGTCCTAACCCATACATATTTGCTTATATAACCAGAATGTATTAAGTAAAACTCATGCGGAAAAAAAATTGTTTTTGTAGACCGGTGTTATCAGTCTCTCGCTGGTCATTAATGCGGTTAGCGCGTGAGGTAGCTCGTCGTACATATGATTGGTTTCGACGACCCATGTTCGGTCGTTATTTCTTTGCATTGTAAACAGTATCAGATAATAATGATTTTGTACACTAATAATGGTAACTATAATGGAGACAGAATGACAAATTAAGTTGAATTTTTTTTATCGTTTTTGGAGTTAGCTATAAAGAACTTTTTTATCAGCAGCAGATAAAAACACATCGTAACAACATGCATGTACGCATGTACGCAGAAGAATACATAGAACTAATCAAACCTTGATTAATTACGCATTACAATCATTATTTAACTCGCGCGCAGGTTAATGGGCCAATCCGAGTGAGATCATTTTGCTATGTTTCCACCCAGTTCTGGGATTGACCGATATATTCATTAAAAAGTCTTCTAAAATAATGAAAATCATTATATATAGTACGAGGACTGCTATATAGCTGGCTGGCCTAGGCAACACTAAGTGTTGCCAGGTGCCATCTGACATTTCCATTGGAACGTTTGACATTTTTTAGCATAACATCACTAAGAACGTTTTGTCATTTAATCGTGAATTGTTTTATTTATATGATAAATATTCGTATTTTCATTATTAGGCCAGAAATATATATAGCAGCCTTCGTATAAGGGAGATGGCGTATTTCGTATAAACAATATAAAGCAAAACAAAAAAACCAAAATCTTTACGTTGGATATATAGGGGCTAGGGGATTTTACCACGAGACAATTATTTTCTCTTAATTTTAATAATATATTTCTCAGATTGACCGATATTTTTGTAAAAACGTCCATTGTCACTGGGGTCCACATATTCTGGGAGCTTTAAAAGTTATGGTCCGATTTTGACCGTTTTATTAATATATGGTACATATGTAACGGGTGATCCAAGTAGAGGTACTTTTATCAATAGCCTATTTGGACAGATCGCGCGCGAATCGTGTCAAGCTGTCATGTTATTTTTGTTCAGTATTGTTTGGTCATGGAAAGACTTACGCCTGAACAACATTTACAAATTGTTCAACTTTATTACGAAGATTCACGTTCTGTAAAGAATGTGTTTCGCGCGCTCCGATTACTTTTGGTCAACTTAATCGGCCTTCCCAAGCGACATCACTTCGCTCTATGGGCTCTTGAAAAATTCTAAGAAGATCCGACGTTTTCGAGTCCAATTTTGTTCAGCTATGAAGCTCATTTCTGGCTCAATGGATATGTAAACGAGCAAAATTGCCCCATTTAGGACGAAGAGCAACCTAAAGAGATTCAAGAGCTGTCATTTCATCCAGAAAAAACCACGGTTTTATGTGGCGTCACTTCCCACACATCGCATCAATCAATGGATTTATAGTGAGAACACTTCGATGAGCAGATAATTTGACATTTTGGGTCAGTTACCAGTCGAAATGCTCGAACGAGCCATCGAAAATTGGACTCAACGAATGGACCATCTGAGACGTAGCCGCGGCCACTTCAAAAAAAATATGCCAAAGAATGTTCTTTCGAATGATAATAAACATTCCTCCTCCTAAAAAGTAGGAATGAAATTTTTTCATACAACCTCGTGTGTGAAATTTAATGCCTACAACGTATTTAATTATTGTGTTATTTTGTTCTTCCAACATAACCGTTATATGAGGAGTGGTTATCATCCGGTTTCTTTATTATAAATTTTCATTTGTATAAGAATGTGATAGAAAGACAAGTTTGTTTGATTTCTCAGCAAGTTTAGGAGATTTAGCTCTAAAGGTTTCTAAGATAATGTAGTTTAAAAAAAATTTAGGAGCGGGGCCACCCTATTTTAAACATTTTTAAACCACAGTTTTATCAGTTGAAGTACAAAATAATTCAATGATTTAAATATATTTTGCTCTCAGTTTTTAACCTGCGAAGTTCATCTGAATGACTTTTATTTTTGTATTCTGTGCTTTAATACTCAGAGTGAAATACGGAATATTTACGGAAATAAATTAACAACAATTGATTGCCTGTATACGCTTACCGTCGTTTACTGAAAACACACTTTTTCCACCAACAAAACAAAACATTTAAGTATTTACTTAAAAATTTGTCCGACAATGCTCCTTATGCTTAATAAAACATTAAGCAGGATTGCATAAATTCAAAGGTACAGATATAAAACAATAAAAAGACAAAAAGAGAAATCGAAATAAAAGGAACATACGTATATGCATATTTAACTATCGCATATATTCTTTATATACACTTATTACATAAATATATTCTATTGCAATTATATTTTGAATGTACAATATTAGATATATGGAATATACCTGTATATTTCACCAATTCCATTTTCGAGTTCTCTTTTCGTTGCGTAACTATATGCACAATTATATGTATACCAACATACGGAGTTATAACATACAGTGGGTTTCATTTAAAAAATTTAAAACTTTAAATTTTATACTGAAATGGAATTGTAATATTTCAAAAAACACTAAACGGTTCGATACAGTAAATACGATTAAAAAAATACACGCATTCGTACTAACTTAATCCGAAACTAAAAGAAACTATTTATCTATAAAAGTATTCGGGTTAAAGTTATACTTTATTGCTTCATTTGAATCAATTTACACAGAAATTAAAAATAAATATATTGACAAGCGGCTTACATCATGTATGAAAACTGCTCTCTGAGAGAAATACAAATTCAAAAGGCAAAGTTCAGACATCCTTCATAAGGTGCCTGCTTGTGACAGAGAAACATTTCATGGAAGTACTGAACAATGGCCGTCCTTCCGGAAAATATTTACATCCGTTTACATAAATCGTCCAAAATTATCACAAGCACAAAAAATGTATCACCTCAGATATAAAACTATCTTAAAGGTCAAACAGGCGTAATAGTAAAACAGTTCGCACTAAATCATCATAACTTCAACTTGGCTTGGAAGCTATTAAAGCAAGATACGAAAACGAATGAATACTAGTTGATAAAGAAATAAAAATATTAATGAGCTTGTCAAAAATTCAAAAAGAAACAAAGGTAGAATTTATCAAACTACAATCCACTGTTTCCAATTTTTTGTCGTTCCAATCGACACAAAATATTCCCACACCACAGGATTACCAGAAAAAATCGTTATTGTTGTACTAGCAGTCAATCTCATCAATAATGTCTATGCTTCATTAGAACATTTCTTCTGTCCCACCCCAAAGCAGCGCTTATACGAAAAGAACCACGGGTTTAGTTGCAACAGCAAGTCCCAAAAAAAGCTAAATCCTGAAAATCGCCTAAAGACACTATGCTATTCAAAAGCACTAAAATCTCAAACGCTCACAGTGAAATTCAATGTGTGTACAGCTACCCACAACAGTCGACTCTACTTTGTTTACTGTTACATACTGTTTGAATTTTTTCTAATTAAATAAGTAAATTACATTCAAGTTTGTACAAGTGCAAATATGCTTGACAGAAATGCTTTAATCGTAATAATAGTTTCATGTGATGTGCGAAGTTAAAAAAATAGAAAATGGCAAAAACAGAGAAAGGTAAGTATTTTTTTTTCCGAGTTTGTATAATAAAAACTGTTAAGTTATTTATACAATGGTGTTGTGTTAAGCACAGAAAATAGCCTTTACAAAAAAATTTTATAATTTATGTGCTAAATTTTTATAACCAACATTAATAGACGGCGTTACATATATAATATGTAACATCAGTTCTAATACCAAGTAGTTGTGTATTTTATTTATATTACATTGGGTTTCTTTTTCTTCATATTTTTCTAGAAAAATGTTGTTTCT